AACGCATATACAAACGCAGTCCGCTGACGTGGCCAACAGAGCTGCAAGTTGACCCCGGACGGGAGTTCATGGGTGCCGTGTCACAACTGCTAGACAAACACGATACAAAGGTCAGGCGTGGCACGGCTGGAGCCCATCGCAGCCAAGCCATAGTTGAGAGATTCAATAGGACTTTGGCAGAGCGCTTATTCGGGCATCAGTATGCTAGGGAGATGGCAACCCCGGGAAAACGATCGACTGAATGGGTCGCGAGGTTACCCAAGGTGGTGTCGGCAATCAACCATGAAGTCACCCGGCTCACTGATAAGAAACCGGCAGACGCTATCAAACTAAAATCAATAGTTGCAGAGTCGGCTGCTCCATTGCGTGGGAAGGAGAAACAGATACCAGATAGGGCCCTAGTGAGGTATCTATACCAGCCGGGGGAACACGAGGGTGATAGCCGTAAGCGAGCCACCGATCCTATATGGTCAGTCAAAACTTACAACATAGATAAAGTGGACATCAAAGCAGACGAGCCAAACTTGTACTACTTGAGGGATGGGCCAGGTAGGGGGTTTGTGAGAGAAGAATTATTGATCGTACCGTACGGTACAGTGTTACCTCCAGTCAACACGGCATAGCGGTGTCCCATTACTCCAGCCATGCCCCCGGTAGCGCGGCTAGGAGGTGCGTTCGCATCCCCCAACTTTTGTAGTAGGGGTAATGGTAGCAAGAGCTAAGGGTCCGACCAAAGCCTTACTTGTGAAATAAGGCTTTGCAGAGGCTTTGGTTGAAAGTGATCCAGAACCCCCATTGTATATACGCCGATGTGACTCTAAATCTTAAGTCATTCACTCACTAAAAATCGGTTATTATAATGAAAATTATAAATATATAGAGTATGTCTTTTTCTAGCAACAGCATTTAGTTCTTATACTGAGGCAATGCTATGGAAACAATGTCGTAATGTCGTTTCTTTATCGCCACAGAGTAGGAAATGCGAAATGGAAAGCCGTTTTGACGGTCAGTATTCGAGAATACAATACCACACCACCCCATTCAATCCGTCAGAACAACCGTGTATACAAATTCAAGCGACCCTACATGTTCATCGATTTGCTATTGAAATACCCTGAATAAACATGTTTTATCAATGGGGCAGGCGGGCTGACAGACTATTTCTTTATCAATTTACTCTTGTTTTATCAATGGGTTATGCACACGCGGGACTGTTCCATGGTATCGGCAAGGGCTTAGCAGTGTTGTCGACCGTCAAGTCCTCCAGCATGATGAGCATGCGCCTCGTGAGCCTCAGCAGTCAACACAATACACTCAGTCTCATTCAACATGCCCATTTACTCTATTGCGTTTTTGCATGATTGTAAGTACCAAAATATCTAACTTTTTCACAAAAGTTATTTTGGAAATAAAAATATTTTGGGTATTCTGTGTTAATTCACCATTGCAGTTTGCATAATACATAAAAACTATAATCTTATGGTATGGTAAAAGTCGCCTGTCGCCAGCGACGGTTTATATATTTGTTGCATCAAAAATAACACTAGTTATGGTGAATGCTATCTTTTCATGCATCATGTGGAAAGTATCATGCTGAATTTTACTGTGAGGTAGTCATTTCACCTCATATTTGAGGGTATTAGTCAAATTTCAATGAAATTCCACTGTCGCCAATTCTTTTGTATTTTATGTTTTGCTCAAAAAGAAAGAAAACGCACCCAGTAACATTAAGAAAGTAATCGTTCATGCTTTCTTGAAGGCGCGGCATTGAACATCAAATCCATTTGTTGTAATAACTTGTTAAACTATAAATATGTCATGTTGGAAAGATTGAATGCATATACAGTATAGATAAGGGTGTATTTTGCGTTACGACGTTATAAGACCTTATACATAACCTGAGCACATCTATATGATCATCTGGTAAGGAGCATGCAACCTAATTCCTTTTCCCGTCTCCTATATTCGCAATATATCATATGTTTAACTTGCGTGGCTCATGATAATGACTGATGTATTTTACGTTACGTATTCTTCGTTACGGTATGTTACGTTACAGTTCCGTATATGGCTATTTAACATCACATATTGTGCAAACGCCACTAACAAATTTGATGACGTCATGAACACATGTTGTGTCATTCATGTTGATTTCAATGTACGTGCTGCTTATGATCTGGAGCTCTGACGAGTTAAATCATCGGTATGTAAGTACTGAACTTATGATTCTTGTATATGTGTTCAAGTCAAACTGTTAAACGTTTGCCAATGCGTCTAATGAAGATGTTCTAATGAGATGTATCATGTACAATCATGCTCAGTAATGAAAAACATACTGAAATTACCATATGGCATTCGTAACGTAAAATACCGTTGCTGTAATGTAAAATACATTTAGATTGTACTGGCGTTAAATGAACATAAATGCCTATATAATTCAACGTTTGTTGCTAAACGTTTGTTAAAGATATGTCATTAATTTATTTGTATTTTCAGTGTTCTGAAAATGACAAAAACTGCATCCGTTATATATTTTACGTTACAGTTGTATTAAATGTTTATTTCATTACAGTGATACATTTGATAACCACTATGGAGCAAATAAATATATTTCCGGGTCACATAACTCTTGTTTCAAGTTTTACCATTTGTCAATGTAACGGTCAAATTCAATAAAACATCTGAATACACTTTTGATTTATTTGTGTTGAAATTAACTTTAGTTTGTTAAAGGATTTTATCAAACAATTAAAACAAGTTGTACTATAGTTTTACATACATGTATATCTAACAATAAATTATTTTGTGTGACGTAAAATACACTAGAAATACCATCACTGCTTGTTGACATTGTAAATAACATTTGTCGTTGTCATATCGGTGTGAGTGAGTGAGTTAATATTTAACGTCACATCGGCAATATTTCAGACATATCTTGACGAGAACAATTCAATTTATATCAACAGTAAAATCAATAAATTTAGAACATAAAACTCTTCCATCGAAGGACAGTAAAACTACTAGAGTATCACAGCTCTAAAATTTAAAGTAGTACGTTATTATGAAAAAGATATCACTGTAGACAGCAATACAATATAAAAAAACGGGCTATAGATCACCAGCATCTGAAGGCTGATCACCATACTAGGGACCATGGGGAGTTACAGTACGTTTGCCACCTGCATGGACCCTAGCTGGATTTACACCATCCCTTCAGATTGTGGCGCTGGCGATTGTGCTAGGTTTAGCCATTATCACAAATAACAAATATTCTACGATTAAAAAAGTTGGTAGTGCTAAATTGACCTTGAAGCTTTGGGGCTTACGTACCCTCTCAGGAGGAAAATAAGTTTACGCCACTTCAACCCCCTTTGAGTATACAGCCACTAACAATCGCAGTTGCTAATTTATACTACCATGTTTAAAATACTAGTTTTCTATTTACAAAACATATTCCAAATATTTCTAGTAATTATTTTTCTTTTAAAGATTCAATGATCAAATGATAATTTACAGTAAAAAGATACTTCACTGTTTTAACATTGAAATATTTATACCCGTTGTCATATGGAAAAAAATGTGTTCAGATAAAAAAGAAAAAAGTGCGCACGCTGACTGAGAATGAGTGAATATCCTTTCAAGCCTCTATAGAAATTCATTCAACCGTGAAGTACTTTTAGCAATCACGTATTTGTGATAGAAATGTCTACAGAGTTGTGTAATACACTTCACATCAAGAATTATTGTATGCAATACTAGATACTACACATTCTATTGCATTTCTGCACATACTGAAGACAGAAACTAGCCCTGATGTGATATGATAGGTTCTGCGTAATCAGGTGACACACCTACGTGATGAGGTCCATACAAGGTCACACACACACACCTACGCAATGAGGTCATGCTTCTTGACGATTCCTTACCTCTGCATAATTAGGTCATGCAGGTGTTTAATTAGGTTACCCAGGTGCATAATTAATAAAAACAAACTAAATTGCCGACTTTCTGGTTCAATACCTCTGGTTACAATAAATCCGTCTGTCTTAAGTACTTCTAAGTATTGTTTTGAGGTGGAATCATAAACTTTTGGTAACATATATATTATTGCAACATTAATGTGATGTCCTAACTCTACTGCGTGTCATTACAAAGGTAAGAAAAGATGATGTCAAACCCTGATTTGTCTGATATTGCCGTTGTTGTGGAGACTTCAGTAGATGTTTACTAAAGTCAAGGGGTAGGTTGTCGTGTACAGAATGGGAACCGTGATGTTTTAAACTAGAATTAATATAATAATTTATATCACTGTTTGTCCCTGAGCCATCGCTGTACCAGCGTGATATAAGTGTCAGTTACATTAGATCAACTTCACCCGGAACTCACATAGGTCAAAGGACAATTACGATGAAATGACAATTACACCCGCTAAACCCGTGACATAACATTCCGGCCAGATGGGACAGTGTTTATATGATTGCTTTGGAGCTGCTTTGAGTGAGTACGATTTGCAAGCCACATTTAGCAATATTCAAGCAATATCAAGGCAGGGAGACCAGATGTGGGTTTCACACATTGTGAGCAATCCAACCCGAGTATTCGTCGTTACGAGCGAACGCTTTAACAACTAGGCTACCCACATGTCTGGAAGCTGTATCGGTTATGTCAAAGCATGTCAGCTTGATGCAATGTGAGACTAACGAAGATTGGGCCAGAAACCATGATCAGGGCGAATACATCCTAAGTTTGGTCAACCTGACAAATCGTGCCCTGGTTATCCACCTCACTTGTCAACCACACCCTCAACATATTCTTTAGCTATCTACAAATATGTTATGTGAACTATTTTACCAACCTGTTCTTTTACAAGATAATTAGCGGTCCCATATACCGCATGTGTCAATTAAAGTGTAAACGAATAGAGATGATCATTGACGGATCATATTTATTTAAAAGATGCATTGAATTCTGAGATGATCGAATAAAACTGAAAGACGTACAGCCATATGTTGGTTCGCCGGCAGTGAAGGACAACTTAAATCCGGTGCGGAAAATCGAACCATCGGAACGGAATTGAACCTTTATTGTCTGCCCTGAGATCTGTGTATTTGGTCCATCTGTTCCACACCATCGACCGATCGAGCTTTCAATACTCGTGACTATGGACAGAATATCACATGTGAGAAAATGAAATGTATGATAATTAAAGAAATCATTAGCTAATGTTGCAAACATTTGTTTGGAGATACTTTGTTTTAAAAGCCTTTAATGTGTTATTTTTTTGGGGATGACTTGTAGTTATTCCACATAAATATTACATATATATTTGCTATATTTGCTATATATAGTGTTACTCAGTTATAATAAAATCAACTATAATTATCGTAAAAAGTAGAAATAATGTTTCGATAACCCCAAATGAGTTCGTACGGATCACAATGCTTGATTAATCCAAATGATGCTATTAAGCAAGACTCGTGTCTATTGTGTGCTGTGTCAACTTGGACAGCATATCCGCTCAACAGCGTGTCAGCTTAAATTGGATTGCAAAGTTAGACAGGTCGCAGAAGTTTTCGACTTTGGCGAAATTTCAATATAGGCAACTGTACGTGTCTTTTACTGATTTATAGGATAACCATGCTTAATCATAAAGCATTACCATCATAGAGCTGTACATAATCATGGGGACACTCAGTGCTGAAAGACACCACTTCAACATGGATTACATATCCGTCAATGGATGTGCTGATCATCCACTCATAGTCCGCATTGCTACAATTGAAATAGACATTAGCATTATCCATGTGTTCCGCATGTACATATGAAAATGAAAGAAATATGGCACAGAATTTGAAACTAATTAGCATGATCTGACGACCTGTGTTTAAACTCAACATGTCAGGCATTGGAATTGTATATGCTTCAAACAGGTCATATCGTGCTTTGGCAATATGGTGTATTGACTACAAACTATCAATTTGAATTAAACTTTAACAATCCCGATACACAACAGAAACCATTCCTTCATCTGGATTGTAATCAATCTGGTCATTCCTGTCTGAGTTAATTTCAGGAAGGATGAAAATATCTGGATGAACAACTACTGTATTAACAAAGAAGTTTTTCGTTGTTATACTTAATGCTGCGACTACTAGATGCCTCTCAAAGAAGTTGCCCTAATTTATATGATTGTTTTTGATGAAACTATTGTAGGTAAAATGTATCATATATTGTTCGTTGCCCTAGTCAATTATATTATTGTTTGTGTATTTCTTTCAGTTCCTTGAGGTATGAATCGAATAATGAATATGCCGTATACTTACTTGGGATAGGGCAGAGGATAATTCGGAGATACAATATATTTTGTCTCATTGCTTATCGTATCATCTTCGCAACACCCTGAAACAAGGAAGGTATCTCAGTGATATTAAACAGTTATGCAACAATGGGGTCTTGTGGAGTTTATGTGATAAGGAGTGAGTGAGGATGCGTTAACGCCGTTTTTAGCAATATTTCAGCAATATCACCAGAAATGGTCTACAAGGAAACACCACACCACACCACCGCCCTGTGAATATGACGATGTTCTGGGAGACACGATACAGTCCACCTTTTGAAGCATTACAAAAAGGATGGGATAGTAACCTTTAATAATAAATGCATAATATCAGGTGCTTCTGTGTCATTTTACAAATATTCAGTGCATTCATTGTTATTGACGTGGTGGACTGTGTTCATTGAGACAATTAACATTCCATGTCTACTATCATTTATAAAATGAAATCAATCACTATATCAGGCATTGGTCAAGGTAACACCATTCTTATATAACCTACTTTTGTACTATATAAATGATTTTGCCTGTTTGGTGTTTACCATATATATTTAGATATGTAAAATCAATCCCTGTACAGTATACTACAGATATAACGAGTCAAATTTTAATTTCAGTTCGTTGTAATCGTAGTACTTCGAGTAAACTATCCACGAGGCAGGGAAAAACAGTTGGTTTAACGCGTTGGTTCGATATAAACGTATTCATTATAAGGTTAGTACCCTAGTATGGTGATCTACCATCAGTTGTTGGCAATCTATAGCCTGTTTTTATATTGTATTGTCATTTATAGGTAAAATATTTTAGATTTAATTGCTAGTCTTAAATTTATTCCTGTGATAACCTAGTTATTTTACTGTCCTTCGTCGACAGGTGTTTTATACTGTAATTGTGTTTATTGTTAATTTATATCTTCTTAAGTCACAATATGGCTGAAATATTGCCGATGTGAATATAAATTTTCACTCACTCACTCACTCACTATAAGGTTAGTAAACTGTATACACAACAGAGTAGCCTACACCTTATTGGCATATGGCACCCGTGCCACCTCCTCGTGGTGGGTGCTGGGTAACGCTAAGCGCTCTTGATATTAATAAAAGATGAATATCATCCGGGTACCCTTGGTGCTGCAAGTTGGACACCCACTTGTTTTTAACATTGTCGTTGTGATACTCCGTGGTGGATGGGGAGCTCGGATGTTGAAATCTAGCACATGAACCATGGCTTATGACTCCCCCAAACCCCCCAAAAACAACAACGTCCGCTTGAAGCAGATCCTATTGATACTGACCTCAGACTGCCCAAAACATTCTTCCTCATCAAATTATGAACCTAAATTCAAATACTACCAAAAACAGAAAGAAAAGAAAGCTATTAATTTTACTTCAGATAATGGGGAAGACTACAATGAAACCTTTTCGATACACGAGCTTCATGCTGCCCTTGACCAGGCTCATGATGCTGCTTCAGGAGCTGATAACATACACTATCACTCCTGAAGCACTTACCAGAATCATGTTTAGAGACACTCTTACATATTTTTCATGATGTTTGGGCATCTGGAAAATTTCCTTCGTCGTGGTGTGATACTATTATTGTTTCCATTCCTAAACCTGGACGTGATCATACTGATCCTTCTAATTATAGGCCAATTTCACTTACTAGCTGCGTTTGCAAGACCATGGAATGCATGATAAATAATCGACTTGTTTGGTACCTGGAATCCAATAACCTAATAACAGATATACAATGTGGATTCCGCAAAAACAGAAGTACCATCGATTATTCAATCCCTTATGAATATTTTGTTAAGAAGGCCATAATTAATAAACAACATGCAGTGTCGATCTTTTTCGATCTAGAAAAAGCGTATGACACCACATGGAAACATGGGATTTTAAAAGATTTACATGACTTTGGATTACGAGGCCTATTGCCTCAATTTATATCCAACTTTTAAATGTCAGACAATTTCAAGTCCGAGTGGGTTCTACCCTGTCTGATCATTACAATCAGGTTTAGGGTGTACCACAAGGCAGTATTTTATCTGTCACTTTATTTAGCCTCAAAATCAACAGTTTATCCAAGTTTTAAATGATTCAGTTGATGGATCACTAGTTGTGGATGATTTTAATATTTCTTGTCGTCGTAAACACATGCATACTATTGAACGCAACTGCAGTTGTGTTTAAACAAAATAAATAAATGGTGTCATGAAAACGGCTTTAAATTTTCTAAGTCAAAAACTAATTGTATTCACTTCTGTAGAAAATATAAGCCGCATAAGGACCCAGAACTATACTTAAATGAAAATAAATCCTTCAAGAATAAATGCCTGAAGGCACTCGAGTTATTGAAAGTCGTTTTTAACTCAAAGTGGGGAGGGGATCAAACTACCCTCCTACACCTATATCGATCATTGGTCCGATCAAAACTTGATTATGGCTCCATCGTTTATGGTGCAGCCTGTAAAAGCAACCTGCAACTGTTAGATTCTGTCCACCACCAAGGTCTGAGACTTTGTTTTGGGTCCTTCCGAACTTCTCTTGTTGAGTCTCTACGTCGAGGCAGATGAGCCTTCTCTTAGCCAACGCCGTATAAAACTATCTTTACAATATATTACAAAATTATATTCTAACGAGTCTAATGCTGCTAATGTGGATTTGTATAACAAAAATATCTTCTCTTGTTCCGCCTCTTGGGCTCAGAATTAAGCCATTTATTGCTGCTGCCGGCATTGAGTTGGAAAATATAGCGCCTTCCCGACTTCTTTCTTCTCCTCCTTGGTAATTGCTTAAGCCACAAGTCGACCTAACATTAACTACATTTAAAAAATCAGAAACTAATGAATTACAATATAAACAAGAATATAATCAATTAAAAAGTATAATATAATACATATAAATCCTTATTTAGAGATGGGTCCAAGGATGGTGGCGCAGTGGCTTGTGCCACTGTCATTTGTCAGAACAATGATTCTCGATTACCAAATAACAGCTCTATTTTTACAGCTATCAAAAATCTCTTTGCAAACATCCACTTTTAATTGAAATTATTGAATTGTGTAATGATCTTGCTACTGTCCAAAGCGACATCGTTTTTTGTTGGTTACCCAGCCACGTTGGCATTTCTGGTAACACAATGGCTGATCTTGCTGCCAAGGCAGCACACAACAAATCTGTGACACCACTACTCTGATTACAAAGTTAGCATTAGAACCTACATCCGTGATCTGATGCAGAAGAAGTGGGACACCCAGGTAGGTATTCAATAAATTACATGAAATAAAACCCTATATCGGTTACACCTACTTGGGTTGTCAGTCCAGATTTGATGAGATCATCGTATTGGCCACACAAGATACACTCGTGAATACCTATTGAAAGGTGAGGATCCTCCGTTTTGTATTCCTTGTGATGAAAGAATCACGGTCAAGCATGTTGCTTGACTGTGTTGAATATTTCATAACAAGGGATAACTATTTCAAATCACGAACTATGAAGGTTATTTTTAATAATATAAGTTCTCATTTAATTAATGCATTTTTAAAAGAATTAGATTTGTTAAATGATTTGTAAATAGATATATATTCTATTATTGGTAGTTTAGATTAGTAACTTGTATTGTTTAGTGGCTCTCAAAGGGGTTAAAGTATTGTAAAATTATTGTCCTCCTGAGAGGGTATGTAAGTCCCAAAGCATTCTCGGTAGATTTACAATTACTGTTATTTTTAATCTTAGCATATATGTTCTTTTAATCTATGGTTAGATTGTCAAAAATTGCTGACAGCTGAAGGGATGATGTAAATGCAACTAGTGTTCAAGCAGGTAGCAAATGTACTGTAAGTCCCCATGGTCCCTAGTATGGTGATCTACCTTCAGTTGTTGGCGATCTATAACCCATTTTTACACTGTGTTGTCCTAATTTGAATTCCTATTTTAGAGAGAGTTGCTAGTTTTATTCCTTGATACTGTGATATTCTAGTTCATTTTAGTCTCCATCGTCGGCAGGTTTGTATAATTTATATGTATTCATGGTGAATTCACAACTTATTTACTCTCACGATATGGCTGAAATATTGCCGATGTGACTTAAAATCTTAACTCACTCATTCACTAAATGGCATACATGCAGATACTACAACAGAGTATGGATAAATGCAACTCTTGTTCTCCGTTTTCTAGATAAACGAATATAATGAAATGATCAATGATAAACCTATCTTCAAAACAGGTTTCGTGGAATTCAAGTTTCATTTTTTCAGAGATGTTTATACATTGATGGCTCTGTGCAGTACTTCTGTGTGTTGTCATGTATAAAGCAACACATGATGAATCCACTGTGTTATTCTGCCTCAGTGGATTTGGCATACCCCCTTACTCATTTCAATTCAAGAAAATTTTTAAAAGTGTAAAATAAAACATGAAGACTTATCTCAAGATATACTTTTTTCTCTGAGGGAGGCAATCAGTTTAGCACAAATTTACTTAAGGGTTTTGTTTGTTTGTTATTTATCGCTGCACTCAACAATTGCTTTAGCTATAGGGTGAAGGTCTGCAAATAATCTAGTATGGATCAGATGTGTTCACATAAGGCCACACATCATGTCCAGCATCAACATAAACATTAAGCAAAACCAAATAATATTTGAATTGATTTGAAAGAAAGTTGGGGAAAAATGTATTTCGATGCATTAATATATATGTCCCCAGGACATATCATCGTGCGCTAGCCCTCTTCAGATGTGGTGAGACTTGGCGATATAGTTATTTACATCTAGCTGAGAGAGTGTGTTTTAACTGTGAGAAATGTGTGGAAGATGAATGTCACATATTATTGCATTGTCCTGTGTACGCTGATCTTAGATAAGTTCTTTTAGCTGCGTGTAGCAGTATATGTCATAATTATAGCATGTCATTGGAAAGCCTGTGATAAAGTCTTCTATATATTGTCTAATCCAGATATTGTATTTTTATCGGCCAAAAACTGCAAATTTATTTTAGATAGAAGAAGGGGTAGTTTATACAACGTTATGTAGATCGTGTTATGTATTTTATTGTATATAACTGAGAGTAAGTCCCATTTCATCCAAAGGATTCTTCATACCACGTATTTTTAATCGTAGAATATCTGTTATTTTAAAGTATGGCTAATTTTGACTACAATCACCAATGGCTGAAGGGATGATGTAAATCCAGCTAGGGTCCATGCAGGTAGCAAAGGTACTATGACTCCTCATGGTCCCTAGTATGGTGATCTACCTTCAGTTGTTGGCGATCTATAGCCTGGTTTTATATTGTATTGTCTGTCATAGTTAAGATATTTTAGATTTTCATACTAGTTTTACAATTAATATCTGTGATATTCTAATTATTTTTACTGTCCTTCGCCGACAGGTTTTTATAGATATTTATAATGACATTATAACGTGTTAATAGTCACGATATGGCTGAAATATTGCCGCTGTGACTTAAAATGTAAACTCACTCTCTCACTATTGTATATAATATTCCTAAATTCGTTGTGTGCCTCTCGTAATCCTAAATGGGTGGCTCGGCAATGCATTTATGTATCTTATTGTATATTTATGTTATATTGTACGAGGTGAGACCGAAATAAACTATCTGTTCTGTTTTGTTCTGCGTTAATTCATGAAAGATGAAACGCATACACATTGATATATAATTAAGCACCTGCAATATATCTCAGAGAAAATCCTTTGTCTGTAGAACTGTCAGTGCGGAAAGTGATGGTCATTGCGTTGCGGGAGCTGACGATGTAGCCGGTGATGTCACTACAGTATTTACCCAACCGACTGGCATAAGACGGTGAACCTTGAAAAAAACCCCAAAGAATCATTGCGTTGTCGGTTAAAAGAGATACGCATGATAGAAATACTGAAGCCAACTTCAGGCTAAGAATACTAATTATTGACCAGTGATAATTGCAAATCAATTCAGATCGAAGAAAAACATGACTATAAGTATCTTTAAGAACTTTTGTTTAAAAGAAGATTTACCCACCACCTCTGAAGAGCACGTAGTCTTTAGAACAGGATGGGTCGTATTCCACAGACATACTCTGAACTGCAACCTTTACTTTATATCCAGCAGGTGCGGAGATTGTCCACTCGCAGTACATATAGCTATTAGGAAAGAGATGAAAAGATTATATGAACTATAACACTGTATGAGGGTCGGCATGTCAATTAGCTCACAAAACCACACGCAAAATCGTGCTGCATCAACACAAGTTTCAGCAGTTCCAAGAGCCTTTTGTCCCCACCACTCTAAATCAATAGTATTGTAAAATTATTGTCCTCCTGAGAGGGTACGTAAGTCCCAAAACATTCAAAGGTAGTTTAAACCTACTACTATTTGTAATCGAAGAATATATATCATTTTAATTTATGGCTCGATTATCTCAAATTGCCAATAGCTGAAGGGATGGTGATCCAAAATCCAGCTAGTCCCTAGTATGGTGACCAGCTGGTGATCTATAGCCCGTTTTTATATTGTATTGTTGTCTATAGTGATATCTTTTTTTATGATAACGTGCTAGTTTTAAATTTTAGAACTGTAATACTCTAGTAGTTTTATTGTCCGTTGATTGCAGATTTTTATGTTTTAAATTTATTGATTTTAATGTTAAATTGTTCTCGTCACGATATGGCTGAAATATTGCCGATGTGACGTTAAATATTATCTCACTCACTCACTAGTATGGTGATCTACCTTCAGTTGTTGGCAGGTCATAGCCTGTTTTTATATTGTATGGTTTTGTATAGTTAAAATGTTTTAAGTTTAATTACTGGTTTCTTAATTTATATATGTGATAAACTGGTTGTTATACTGTCCTTCACTGACAGACTTTTATAATTTACCTATAATTATTATAAATATATAACTTGATATAGTCACAACATGGCTGAAATACTGCCGATGTGGCTTAAAATTTTAACTCACTCACTCACTCACTCAATCAAAATCAATATTAGGTTTGTTCTGCCTGGTAAATTTCTATGCCCAACAACCTGAATCTAAAATATCAAAGGCTTACAACGTTTTGCACTAGGGAAGGTGATAATTAGTATCCATTCTCGTGTGTAAGGTTATGTCCATTGTGATACAAGAAATCCTCACAACGGATCTTCTAGACTAAAGTCATTAAGGATTAAGTGATTCCTTCTGGAGGGATTGTGAAGGTGAAAGGTTAGGACAGAGCATTTTTGTATCGATGGGGTCACTGCATTAGCTTGCCAGTAGTCACAACGGGTTATCAACAAAGATGATGTATATACATGTATCTACTTACTTACTGAAGTTGTAGTGTGGGTACCCAAAGGATGACAAATACCTCCAGGAATATTTGCTGGCGCTGAGCTTTGAACAATTTCTCTCTGAAAAATAAAAAATTGGAAGCGATGAATGAGAAGGGAGTCTCTTTGAAATTCTTCTGAAATTTAAAAATAAATTGAGCCTTATAGGAATTTGTTTGTATCTGTACAAAGGAGTTGGTGCAGAAGTGATACTGTATGAACATGTTTCAAACTCAGCTTTGTTAAGAAAGAGAACAAAGATAAGATATAATTTACACAGCAGATTTAAGAGTTCTTTTCAGTGAGTCTGAATTATGATATAAATTACATTGAATTGTTTGTGAAAGAATTGATGTAGAAACAACACTTCATTCGTTTCCCAAAGGAAACTTCAGTTTCAAATTTATTTTGAGGCGTGCTGAACATGTTTGACTGTAGCTTCTTCAACATGAAATGCTCAAATTGTATTAGATCAACAGCTCTTTAAGTGTGTGTGTGTGGATGTAACACAGGCTTTAATGAATTTATAACTATTTTAAGTCATGATATAGCTGAAATACTGCCACTGTGACTATAAACTGTAACTCACCCACTCACTCATGATATATAGTCTAGCCTCATTAAACTGGTATACGGATATATCGTCTCCCCACTTAGGCTACGAAACAAAGCACTAATACCAAGTATGTAGATATTTACACATTTACAACAGTAATTTGCATCGGGAATCATTAATACATTGTAATCATCTTTTTTTGGAAGTATAGATAATGAAATTTGTGCAGCAATGATCATGAGTATGATAACTCAAACACGTGTGCACTAAAATTAATGACCTGCCGGTTTATGTCTGTGTTTCAGTGCAATAAGCAGTCTTTCTTTTATGTCATATTTAAGATGTGTACCTACGGTCAGTTACATAAAAATGATCTTGCTACTGGCCAATACGACATCGTCCTCTGTTGGTTACCCAGCCACTTTGGTATTTCTGTGAATACTTTGGCCGATCTTGCTGCCAAGGCAGCACTCAACAAATCTGTGACACCACTTCTTATTCCATACTCTGATTACAAAGCCAGCATTAGAACTTGCATCCGTGATCTGATGCAAAAGAAGTGGGACACCCAAGTAGGTGTTAATAAATTACATGAAATAAAACCCTATATTGGCTACACTTACTTGGGATGTCAGTCCAGATTTGAGGAGGTCATCATTGGTCGTATTGGTCATACCAGATATACTCATGAGTACCTATTGAAAGGTGAGGATCCTCCGTTTTGTATCCCTTGTGATGAGAGAACCACGGTCAAGCATGTCCTGCTTGACTGTGTTGAATTCTCCATCATAAGGGATAGATATATTAATGTAGAGTAACAGTAACAGTAGAGGACCTTTTTAGTAATGTTAATTATCATTTAATCATTGTTTTTTTAAAAGAGATAGACTTGTAAAATGAATTTTGATGTATGTTTTGTAAATAGATGAGGTTTTATAATTGGCAGTTCAGATTTTCAACTTGGATTCTTAGTGGCTGTATCCTCAAAGGGGGTTGAAGTAGCGTAAAATTATTGTCCTCCTGAGAGGGTACGTAAGTCCCCAAAACTTTCAAAGCAAATTTAGGCTTGCCCCGTTTTTTATCGTAGAATATCTGTGCTTTTCATTTATGGCTAAATTTCTCTTCTGTCACCAATGGGTGAAGGGATGGTGTAAATCCAACTAAGGTCAATGCAGGTAGCGAAAGTAATGTAAGTTCCCATGGTTTCTAGTATGGTGATCTAACTTCAGCTGTTGTCGATCTATAGCCCGTGTTTTATATTGTATTGTCATTTTTAATTGGAATGTTTTAGCTTTGTTCGCTAGTTTTATATTCATATCTGTGATTATCTAGTATTTTTACTGTCCTTCGTCAGCAGGTTTTTATAATATCTATATATATTCTATTTCAATGTCAAATGTTCTCGTCACGATATGGCTGAAATATTGCCGATGTAAAGTTAAATAATAACTCACTGACTCACTCAGTTACATAAACTTTAATGTAATTTCCATAACAAAAAGTATAAACCTACTGTATTACCTTCTGATCAGAAAGGCTTATCAGTAACCTACCGGCCTCACCCCACCCTAGGCCTACCCCATCCCACACCCTCTCCCTCTCACACACATGCACACACACACACACACACACACACTCCCCTTACATACATATCGCTCTGGCCCATAGACCCAATATATGGACATTTTAAACAGAAATCATGTGTATGTCAAGAAAGGCACGCACGTAAATAGTGGTGCCCAGTCATGGTGTTTCTAATAATCTCAGTGTATTATGGCGTGGTCCGACGCACTAATGAACCCGATGTGACAGTTACATTACAGGACCATTTAAATACATGTTAAAGTAGTGTTAATCTTTTAACACTACATTTACCCATTACCAACCATTTACGCGGACCATTTAAAAACCTAACTCTGGTCATAAAGGTAAAATGCATGTCCTACAGTCTTTTACATACGTTACACTTGCTAGAAAACACATGAAAACAATGGCCAGATTTACACACCTGTGAAATACATGTAAATAGAGAGTTGAATGTTCGTTTATTTTAACACTCCTTTAAACGTGTGTAAATCTGACAGCCAGATGATACGTAGATTTCAAACATTGTTCATATGGCCGCCGGATGAAACGTATATTTCCTAACGTTAGTAAATTTGGGAAATACAGTCATTTTGTGTGGTGTCAGTCACAATAGTGTTGACAGTTGGTAAGTGCATTCAGAGTTATAAACGGTAGAATAGGTTCTAGTTGAAAAGGCAAATAAACTCATTGATTATGTACATTTACATAGTATTACAGAAATAGCTAGGAAAGACCATACAAGATCAAATTTTCATTGAAGATCGATACATTTTCTTTTGTAGACTCCCTGCACCTGCATAATTGAGCGCGTCTTATTTATTCATACAAAGTTAAAGTGTTTAACATGCGATTTCCCTGAACAAAGGATCAAGACAATATCATGTCTCTATCGTCAATGCAACCCGTGAAGATCCTGGTTAGAAATGATATTCAGTAACACACGCCTGTCGTAAGAGCTGACCAATAGGATCGGGTGGTCAGGCTCGCTGACTTGGTTGACACATGTCATCGGTTCCCATTCGCGTAGATCGATGTTCATGCTGTTGATTACTGGATTGTCTGGTCCAGATTCGATTATTTACAGACCGCCACCATATAGCTGTAATATTGCTGAGTGCAGCTTTAAACTAAACTCACTCACTCACTCACTTTCGTCAATGCCATTCCCAGGCAACATTAAATACTCCCAACCATACTTAATGGCAACTACCCCAACCTCAGCCCAATTGATAAATGGTTGATCACCAAAACACAATTATTGTACCTGTGGTGGTTCTTGTTGGACAACATGGGCCCTAGTATGGTGATCTACCTTCAGTTGTTGGCGATCTATAGCACGTATTTTATATTGTATTGTGTTCTTTGATTGGAATATTTTAACTTTGCTCGCTAGTTTTATATTTATATCTGTGATTCTCTAGTCTTTTTACTGTCCTTTGTCGGCAGGTTTTTTATAATATACATATATTTCATTTCAATATCAAATGTTCTCGTCACGATATGGCTGAAATTTTGCCGATGCGACGTTAAATATTAACTCTCTCACTCACTTGTTGGAGGGATTATCCCAGCTTTGTATTTCAGATTAAAACCTGGTCGCGTGGTAGAGCCGTCGGTGTGGAAGGTGATAGCCATATAGCTGCTGGTGCCGACGACCTGCTTGTTGTTGTAAACACCGCAATATTTACCCAACTGACGACTCCAAAACCAGGAACCTTGAGGAAAGATATTTACTCACTCAGTGGCATCGAATCTGAGGCACATACATATACATGCTAGTATTCGAGTGAAGCTGATGCTAATAGAACGTATTTGGAGTAACTGTGATAAAATACATTATCTGGCAATCATCACGCATCAAGTGCCAAGTTCTTACAATTAATAAAACGAACTGCATCGAAAACCGCTTAATTTGATCCGACGGTCATTCCCTTATTTTGGATTTATGATCAAACTTAATAATTCAGGTATTGTCTCAGAATTAACTGGAGACCAAAACAGTACGAAGGCCACTGTGATTAAATTTGTCTGGGGATCTTGTATACGTTTGTACCATGTGCTTACCCTGCTGAAAGGCAAGATAGTCCCTTGAACAAAGTGACGAAGATTCCAAAGACAAATAAAGAATTTCGACTTTAATGCCATATCCATTTGGTGCTCTAATTTGCCAAAGGCAGTTTTCATTGCTGAAAACAGAATTTGTGTAGACGAATTGGTATCATACAATCATATATCAACAAGTAATTTCTTCAAGTGTATAATATTTAAACATATAACAGTTCAGGTATTTGTGCAGTAAAATCTCATTTGTATACAAAAGGCCTTTGGTTACACAACGGCTTTTCGGTGTAATGAAAATTCTACCATAGTCATAGGAGATTCACAATGGCAGTGTTTATGTGAAAACCAAACAACAACATTCAAATACTTTTCAATTTATCAGAAGATATCCTGCTACCATACGGGTGATAAGTCACTTGCAAGTCACATGCGTAGTCACACTTACTTGTCTCGTGTTTAGTGCAAGCATCAGTCACGTTTACAGTGCTCAATGGTTGACACGCGTGGCGTGCTGCGTACCGGTCACGTGTGTAGTGCTATTTACCACGTGTTATTTGCTAATATTAACTAACTGGTTAACCTTTATTCACTTGTCAAGAAATTAGGCACCTACTTATCATAGTTCGAAGGATAGCCAGGAGAGGTCAAGGTCTTCCATGTGGCAGAAGATGCGGAAAGATATGGGAATCCACAGTCGGTAGCTGTAACAGGATAAAGCCAGCCGAGTGAAATGATAAACATCATACAAATAATTCATAGTTAATCAACAATGTAAATTCACCATTTGTGATAATTGTGGAGTGGATGGGATGAATATCAACACACTTTAGGGTTAATGAAGTATATTCAGGTGAAGACAGATGCGTTTTTCGACTTGATGCTTGAATCAAAAGCTTTAAGTTATACATCTTCTGTAGGCTGTAGTGTAGGGGGAACATGGTAAAAACTGACAAAAGGTTCACACACAATGGGTATCTGTGGTCCCGAGAAAATTATGTTATTCTGCTCAACAGGAATGTATATTTTCCCAATGAAGACAAGTACCAGACTTTATTAAAATTAAAAAATGTTGCTGAGATTATTACCAGATGTGTACTGCAAACGAAAGCCTCCTCCTGTGACAGCATGGTCTGAGTGAAACATGATGGTCATATAGTAACTGGAACTGACGATGGGAGTAGACCTACGTTCACAAATCTTTGCCAGTTGGCGAGCATCGTCCGTCTTACCTGAAACGTAAATGTACTAATTGTGCATCTTTCATCAATTAACGAATGTAGTTTCATTTGTACATTTATTCGAGTCTTCACTATGCAACCGAACAACATTCTTTCCAATATGAAAAGACATAAGTGAATTATTCGTTACCAAGGTTCGATTCAACACTAACGGTAAATACATACTGACGATATACGCAGGGAACAGTATTGTTCTTCATGGCAGCCGTATGTTCGGAACATTAAAAATTGACACAGTTATGATACTGTTAGAAATACAACTCTTTGTCATACACTACACCATCATCGTCAATTATAGTTGATAACAAGAACCTTTCCCGATTACTTGATTTACATAATAATTAGTGCAACAGAAGATTGATTTTTATTTTTAGTGGTGAGGTTTTCATATTTTCATATCGTTTGCTCAAATCAAATGTCCGTATAGGAAGTCCCACTGAGAATGCAGGTACATGTGATGTGTCTAAGAGCAGATCACTTGACAGGGAAATAAGGCTGTGTTGTGACAATAAGCCTGTGTTGTGACAATAAGGCGGTGTGGTGACAATAAGGCTGTGTTGTGACAATACTGATCCCTGAATAAGTTATTTCCTGGTCAATTGCTCACAATGTAGCCACATATGGCTAAATTCGACTACAATCGCCAGCGGCTGAAGGGATGATATAAATCCAGCTAGGGTCGTAGCAGGTAGCAAAAGTAATGTAAGTCCCCATGGTTCCTAGTATGGTGATCTACCTTTAGTTGTTGGCGATCTATAGCCGATGTCTTCTTTAATTATGACTGTATTGTCCATGTTTTCTTTGTCGCTAGTTTTATATTATATAGGTTTTAACTGACGTCATCGTCGATAGGTTTTAATCTTCGAAAAATGTTTTCACTTTTTATTGTATAAATTGTTTTCGTCACGATATGGCGACATTGCCGATGTGACATTAAATATTAACTCACTCACTCACTCACTCATAATGTAGCCGCCGGGTATCTGGGACATTATCGAGTGCAATACTGTATTAGTCAGCAAAGAAATATAGTTGACTAAATTAAACACAGCTGCACATAACTGGAATACTGCGCGATGTTGAAGAAATATACAAGCGAACATTCACAAAGACGCACAAACGAACCAACTCGGAAGCAAATATACTCTCCCCCCACCCCACCCCAAAAAAAACAAAAACAACAACAAAAAAAAAAAAAACACCAACAACCCCGCATGGAGTATTTTCACGAATTTAATCTGCTAACTTTAAAGTGAAATAACACATGTAATTCTGGATCAGTTGCAGCCAGACATCACAGTATAAAGATCAAATGTCTGTTAACATGCATGCGCACAACATTCAATAAGGAATGTGTCTGTTCCCAGTTGGGCGTTGTCTTTAATATCAATTGTGGTCACCGATGAGCACCCAAAATTGTTCTGCGTCGTCTCGGCATGGACTGAATATGTCTTTGAATTCGACCCTGTGGAATTCTTGGCCCATTCCTCTTGCAATGTCTGCGAGAAATAATCTAACGTTCGGAGCGCAAGTATAAGTTCACGTATGCGTTGGTTGCGGTGATCCCACAAATGACCAATTGGGTTGAGACGTGCGATTTGAAAGGCCATGGAAGCACTTTATTGTGCTTATTCTGAAGATACTGAATAATGGCATGTGCTGTATGAGGTATGGCATTATCTTGCTGGAACAACTCCCTCTGGCGGTCAGTGATTGGAGCCACCGTGTGAACCCTTACGATTTCGTCTCTGTACCGAAATGCATTTAAATTGCCATGACTGACTGACTGATTTTGGCTTTACGCCGCTTTTAGCAATATTCCAGCAACATCAGGGCGGGGGACACCAGAAATGGGCTTCACACGTTGTACCCACGTGTGGATTCGAACCCGGGTCTTCGGCGTGACGAGCCAACGCTTTAACCACTAGACCACCCCACCGCCCCAAATTGCCATGAAGGCGCACAAAGTTAGATTTCTGCGTATAGTATATAGCTCCCCAGTCTCACCACCACATCTGTCAACCTGGGCAATACAATTCTAGACAAAACATTCATTTCGACGCGGATAGACACGTCCTTTTTCAGGGGCGGTGGGGTAGCCTAGTGGTTAAAGCGTTGGATAGTCACGCCAAAGACCCGGGTTCGAATCCCCACATGGGTACTATGTGTGAAGTCCATTTCTGGTGTCCCCCGCCGTGATGTTGCTGGAATATTGCTAAAAGCGGCGTAAAACCAAACTCAGTCAGTCAGACGTACTATTTCATCACGCCACTGAAGCAGAAAGCGTCACTGAACCATACACGTCACAATCAAACGTTACTGTACCACTGGATGTAGTTGTCGCAGCACAGGGCCAACATAGGATCTCCTGACTCGAGGTCAACCTTCTTGTAAACGATTACGACACTCTCCTCAAACCAGGCACTGCATTTGCTGTGACAGCTGGATTTCCCAAATGAAGTACCCCGTTGTGATAATCCGCGGTCTATCACTTCAAGTCCGATCTTGTGTAGAACTGATTTGTTGATATCGGTCCAATACACTACTGATGTTTCATGTAGTCTGGAGAATACTGAGGTGATGTGCAACGGCAGATTGAGACTCTAGACGTCCAATGGCAATGTTTCGATTTACATCAGTGAGTCTCGGCATAACGATAGCATTTCATTAAGCTAAACATGTCAACGACTGTCTAAATGCAAACCGGTCTGATATAGGCAATGACCCTGCTCACGATTCCTCAATACTGCACGCGCTTACCACTTTTTATCTATGACATTTTCAAGCAAATTGACACTTTCCAACGTAAACATAAAGCATTGCAATGGCGAAATAACATTCAATCACCAAGTTTGAAATAAATAAAATTTGAAATTCCATATACCATTATTATCTATGTGTTTCTTTTTTGGGACAATATCTTTTTTGGGAGGGTATAGGTAAGTAGTGATCATGACAATATCAAGATTACATTTTGTTTCCTTGTTACCACACGGATGTCTCATGTCAATGAAGATTAGTTACATTTGCTTCACTCAATACCAAGAGGAACACAACATGCATCCCAAGCTTTACCTACCATCCTTAAACAGTAGATAATCGTCCAGGCACGATGACACATTTTCCAAATCAAGAAACAAAACTGTCACCGTGATGATGCCTCTCCACGCATGTATAGTCCACTGACAGTCCAATCCACTGCAAGGTAAAAGAAAAATATTCCGAAACAAAGACACAAGCCTCATCCATATTCCTTAACCATGAAAAAAGCATATTTAAATTTGGTGACATTACTATCAATCTATCTTGAGTATCTATCTAAATGTGTATACATCTTTTGATCTGGCGAATTGCATTCACGTGAACAGGCCAGAATCATGCATTCATTTACATCAGATTATTACAACATTTTACTTACTTTGGGTAGTTGTTTGGATAGCCAGGGGAGACAATCACCATCGGACTGTAAACTGCGGGAAGCGCGACTTTGCACGTTGTTGCTGATAATGGAGAACAATAGCAATTGTAAATTTTTGTTTGGGTTTGCTGTTTCCAAGATACGGGTTGTGCGTGTGTGTGTGTGTGTGTGTGTGTGTGTGTGTGTGTGTTCGTGCGTGCCTTTGTGTGTGTGTGGTTGTTTGTCAAGACCCCAGGCATTTTTGACAACAGACAAACGTCTTATTTAAACTCCCCAAGAGGATGTCTGATAAATACTAAAGAAATCTAGGTTGGGAATATGTTTTATGAGTATAATCTACTATGCAGAATGAAAACCAGCAAATAAACGTTTTTGAGCTGACCTGCTGGGCATTAATTTCCGCGGTGTTGACATCAGTCAAAATTGGAGTCAACAGTAATCATAAAACATACGTTTCGTGAATTATTGGCTTATTCTAGAGATATTTTTCCGCTCTTTACCATGTTGTCCATACTGTTACCGAAACTTCATAATGAATATATTGAACTGATCACGTTCAGAGTTTTACGTATTGATTCATACAGAAATAATACATACACAAAATATGTCTAAACCGAGAGCTAATGTTGTCATAATTGGCAAACATCGTTGGTATACAAAATGAATGCTGCGTGGAGGCCAGCTATCAATGCCAAAGACGAAGATCTGTTATTACTTAACTGAATGCACAAACTGGCGCTGTATTAACATGAAAGTATGCATTCACATTTAGAGAACAGTAACATTGAGAGTTTGGAGCTGCCATCATGTCTCATAAAGTCTTCGTAAAGTCTTGTTCTTTCACACATTTTTATCACCTAGCACAACTAAGATGTATTAAATAACAGTCCATAAGTGAGTGTGATTCTGTTGTTATGTGCCTAGTTTGGTCATTCAAACAGCAGTTTTACAGTTGACAGCTGTGTTTTTACTTTAAAATTACTGTCTTCTCACATTTTCTTTGATAGGTTGCCCAGCACAACATTTCCTCGGAGACAGATTTGCAAATGCTTGATATTCCTTGGTCCTTGTATACACAAACATGACACACTGCAGTTTCATTGTATGCTATAAGTGGGTTACTACCGCAGATCTCAGGGGAAATATTGGTTGTGGCGTCAATTGTTACGGCACTGATATATCGACACTTATTTTTCGTTTGTTAAACATATGCAATACATATTTTTCTTTCATTATTCAGTTTGTATTGATACCAAAGTTTACTGTATGAGGCGACATACAGCATATTATATTGGCATGTGCGTAAGTGAGATAAATAAAAAGTAAGTAAATTTGGAGTCGTAAGTCAATGTACATGAGACATATATTTAAGCATCTGATAATAACATTAATTATACTGCTGGATAGCTGTAGTTTTAGGTTATATCTAACTGGTTAATGCATACACACCCGGTATGGCTTTGTATAGTATCTTGAATCCGTTGTAGTTTCCTGAGGAATCAGTTCGTAGGCGAACACTCAAGGCGTTCCCACCGCTGTTAAATACGGGTCTTTCGTTGCCACAGAAAGTGCCGAGCTGTTGGGAACCTGTAATAGAATATGATATTATCACTTATGTCAGAATTTCTCCAAATACCATCATTCAAAACTGACAGAGACAAACAACCATGCCTTGTGCAATATTGACGTCAGCAAACTTTTCACATGAAGCCTCCTATTTGACACTCAGAGGCCAAAGAAATTGTGACAGGAAATGTTTTCTTTCGTAAAATGAGCAGACAACACTTGGGGTTGGGAGTAAGGTTAGGAAGGATCTGTACACCGACGTGTCACAGTTACTTCTTTACCGAACTTCGGGCAGGATCTGTGACCGTTACATTGGTGTTCCAGAAAGGAATTCGCTTGGAGCTCGGAGCGTTATGATCTGCGGTGGGATAACAGAAGCAGCAAGGGCACCGGTGATGGAGAGGAATGTGAATGCTGTTAAGTACATTGTGTACCGAGACTAGATTTTGCAAATGACGTCTTCACCATTATAACAACATAACGGAATGGACCTAGCGTGATGTTTCAACACAGTAACGCCCGACCATATTTTTCGGGTGTTGTACAACAGTTTCTTATTTCATGTTAGCCTGATCCGCAAGATCCTCTGATTTGTCACCCACTGAACACGTTGAGATTAAATAGAGCAACGTTTACGACGTCATGCGAATCATCCAACGACGCTGCATAAACTCCGCCATATTCCTCCGCTGAGATGAATAATCTTCCCTGTTATCGACGCACTGTGGAGTCATTTTCTGTTGTTTGCATGCTACAATACTTTTTGCCTTGGGGTACACAATTATTGCACGGGAAACTAACTACAATTATCCCTTGATTGACTATGTAGACTGTCGATATAGTATCTCTGAAGTCATCATCATCTGACCATTCTTGACACAAGGAACAAGCATGTACACGTATCTACTTACCGTATTGACCGTTGTATACAGTGACATAATCCCAGTCGCAAGTTCCATGAGAGGAGATCTTCTGAAGTACCGAGTCCATGGTGTCCAGTTGAATGGTTTGGTGTGGATGTTCTGTTGTAATAGTCCATGTACAAGTATGATTCCTGCAAACAGACCCATATTGTTAAGTGCTATACAAGTAAGGATGCGGAATGGTTTGAAAAATTCACACATATAAACGCTTGACTAGGTAAAGATGCGTATGCATGACTAGGTGTGAAGTAAAATGTTGTTGAAAGCTTGCTTAATCATTAATCCAGCACACCTACTCACTTGATGGATGCACAATTAAACACTACAAGAAATGTTTGTGCTTCTTTTAGCTGATTCAGTACTGAAGTTACTCACAGGAAGTAGGTGTTTGGGTATCCAGGGGAGGTAAATGTCTTTCCGACAGAAGTTGCTACGAGAGGTACACCGCAGTTTTCGTCACCTGGTTGTAACAATGGCTCAATTCACCACCCGTAGGATCCATGAGCATCAGCCGGGGCAACTTTGTATTTTTACTGATTTTGAAAGATTCAACGATGTCATGTAAGAATCCTGCATGTTGAATTTTGTCATAGCTAGCGCTATCGAATCTACCTTATTAAACGTAAGAAACATATAGCCACAACTCCATCATTGCAAGAACTGCTTTGTTTTGAATATTGCTTGAGAGATCTGCGCTAGACGATCGTTTTGTATTTTTGAAGTGATTAAAACCAGTCTCTGATGTTGACCATTCAAGCAACACTGACCCAGTTTCATATGACTGAGCACATCTGCTATTACCTATTGGTCCATGCAAATCTAGTTTGTCAAGGGAAAATGAAACTAGGTTTCTAAATTCGAGGTTTTATGTTACATGCAGTTAAGACTATAGACTGACGTTGCAGAGTCAGGGTCATGACTTTACTCACCCGTTTTTTCATAGTATCTAATTAGAAAACCTTTTGTATTTCCAGTGCTATCAGTCTTGAACACTGCATGGAAGTGTTGGTCTTCTTGGATGAGAATATTACATCTGCTTTCTCCACAGATTCTACGTGACGAGGCTTTACTTTGATTAGCTGGGTGGACAAAATGTCGAAAGAATAATTTTGATGTTTCGTGAAGTTTGTACTGTTTAGAGATAGTGATTGTTGCAATCACAAAAAAAGTAAAATGTGCTTCAGTATCAGTAATTTTGTTTTGGAAATTGTTCAGCTTTCACAAGATTTCAATTATTTTCCTTCCTTGATGTGGCACAGTGATCATAAGACAAAGCATATCAATGTTTTAGTTTTTTCTGAATAACTTACAAAATACAAAATACCCACATAAAAATAATACGCAAAACATGAAAATATTGTATTTAATAAATAATTAATATATAACAGATAAATGAGGTTTTTAATGCAATACAACTATTTTACCATTATTTATGACGTATATTGTAAGGACGTCATATGCACAGGTGGAGGATCTTTCGATATTTGAATACACCATTTCGAGCACAACCCTGTAGCCTCTTGTTTCAGGGTAGATGTCCCAATAGCAGTTGTCATTGCTGTAAAATGATGGTATTTAGAACCAAAGAAACATGTAACGTGTAAATTAAAACATATAAACTCGACATTTATGTCCAATATCTCCATGATTACATTTAATTCTGTAATGCTTACATAAAAGCATAAAAAGCATACGAAAAGAGCGCCCATCAATAGATATTCTGGTGAAAAGATCATTCATAAAAAGAACAGCAATGTTTCTAAATACTGTCCGTAGTCCCGTAGGTAGTTCAGCCGAATTACATCAACCTGCACTGCTTACCTATCAAGGATAAACATATTTCAGTCAACAGATCAATAGATCTGATTTTGTTTACATACATGAGCACTCATTCTGGTGAGCAGATCATTCATAAAATGAACAGGAATGTCTCTACATACTTTCTGTAGTACCCTGGGTAGTTAGGAGATGTGAAATTCAGCGGTTCCCTGTGAGCATGGAGCGTGACATTACATGCACCTGTACAAAACACGTTCACTGTAATACACGCTTGTAAATATAACCGTAGAACAAGGAATAGTATACTGAGTCGAAAAAGAAACATCACAAAATGTAATTTGAAGAATAATGAATATTTTTTCTCTGATGATACATCTATGTATCCGAAATGGGATCCCTATCTTTCGACTCTAGAAAAACGTTAGCAAAACCCACTCAAACCCATCCATTCGTCGTACAAATGACGTTAGTGCCAAATCAGGTTTTGCACGTGCAGTCGATCACGTGATCTTCGCATCGAAGTTTTCTTCATATGCACGTGTTTGCATTGGCCTCAAGAATTGAAAAAACACTTTTAAACCACAGTTCTAACGGTACTTGAAATGCCACGATTGTCAAATGTGCAACGTGAACGTGCCGTTGGCATGTTGCAAGCGGGAAGATCAGTTATTGACGTCGCAAGAGCAATGGGATGCAGCCGTCGTACTGTGTATGACTTGCGAGGTCGTCTACAACAAACTGGCACTACTTCTGATCGCCCAAGGTCGGGTTGTTCACGTGTGACGTCACGAGCAGAAGACCGTCAAATCGTCCTACGTCACCTACGTGACAGATTTCTGCCGGCTACACGATCCAGGGCTGAGATGTTTAGAGATCGACTGTCCTCACAGACCATTCGAAATCGGTTGTGGGCTGCCAATCTCCATTCTCGACGTCCATATCGTGGGCCAATATTGACGCCGTTTCATCAACGTCAACGTCTGCTGTGGGCCCAACGTCACCTCCGATGGACCCAGAGAGACTGGAATCGAGTCGTCTTTAGCGATGAATCCAGGTTTACCCTCAGATTCGCGGACGGCAGGCATAGAGTCTGGAGACGACGTCGTGAACGGTATGCCCAATGTTGTGTACAGGAAGTCGACAGATTCGGGGGCGGAAGTTGCATGGTGTGGGGTGCTTTCTGTGGGAACAATCGTTCCCGACTTCTGGTCATCCGTGGAAACCTCACAGCTGGTGCTTACCGCGATCAGGTGCTCACCCCTGAACTCGTTCCTTTCATGGCGGCTCATGGCCCAGGTTTACAGTTCCAGCATGATAATGCTCGGCCGCATACCGCGATGTTGACACGAAATTTCCTTCAAAACGCTGGAATCAACGTTATGGACTGGCCATCGAGGTCCCCTGACCTTAATCCAATGGAGCAGGTTTGTGATGCACTTGGGAGAAGGCTTCGTGGTCTTAGGAACCAACCTCAGAATTTGCAGGAACTTGGCGCTGCCTTGCAAGAGCAATGGCGCAGAATCCCCAACAAAGTGTTCACAAGCATCAGGCAGTCGATGAGGAGACGGTGTTTCGCAGTGGTGAATGCGCGGGGCGGACATACACAATATTGAACTGAGAAATTTCGCATTTGTATTCTTGTGACTTGACATTCTGTATACCCATGTTTTGGAACGGCGATGTAGTCTAATGGAACTGATTATGGCACTGTCAGTGTATCGAGTACATCACACAGATCTCAGCAATGAAATAATAACAATTTAACGATCTTACCATCTCTTGTTCTTTTATAGTGCCCTGAAGAAAGAATGTGAAGTTTCTTTTTTGACTCAGTATATAACTAAGGAACCATAAACTTGATGTACCATCAAATGATTAACATCCGTTCCTCAGATAATAAAACTGCTACATGATATTGAATGACTTGAAGATGTACACATTCACAACATCATCATACTTCACTAAGAACCTGAAGTCATCAACAACTTGACTATTTAGTTCATACATGGAAAAGATAGTGGCGTATTATTCCATAGAAACGGAGATCATGCGTGCAATATTTTATAATTTCGACATCTTTATCTTCATAATTTGGTGCCTGTACAAATCTACAGTTAGTATTGCATGGAAATAGTTTCATATGTCACATAAACTGTGAACATAAATAACTGTTGTAATAGGTCATATTGACATATTTGTTTTATGCAGAGAAACACAAAATACAAATGTTCACTGCTGCATAAAGATTCAGAGTGACAACAACCTATCCACAAGGCTGTATGACAAAAGGGAGGATTTCAACTTTACAAAAGTCAGCTTCCCGTTCATGTCGACCGTTATTCCAACAGCTCCAGCCTTCGGTGTTTCCATTTCACAACTTTTGAGATACAATCAAGCTAGCTCCTTTTATCAGAATTTTTAAGAGTGTCATACTACACTTGCTCAGAAGTTTTTTTATCTCAAGGTTACAACATTCAAGCTTTCAACACGTTTTATGGTAGACATATGAAGGAAATATTCAAATTTGATGCATCAGTGACAAAAGTGATGTCCGATGCAATTCCCGGTTTTGACTTATACAATATATTCCCGAATTATTTCAGGTGAAACAACTGACTAGATTTAGCATATGTTTATGACGGGTGGGGCAGGATATGCTCACTGTTTCAGGAACACCTGGAGTAGTAGTAGAGGGGGGTGGTGGTACTTGCGCTGATGTGGCTTAGAGGCTTATTTGTGGGAACTAAGCCTCCCAACCCCCCTTAAAAAATAGCGAGAGGTAACCTTCGATGTGCCTCCAGCCTAGACCCAAAGTTCCGAGCACTGAGGTATCAGCCGGCTCGCCAGTGTGATGGTTAGAGCGTTGGACTCGTAATTCAGGGTTTACGAAAGGTATCCGTAATATTCAGCAACGACTTTATGGAGTGGGTCTGCCATGAGTTCCTCGAAGTGGATTAGGGTGTATGGGACATCGCATTCTCGGGTCTCGAAGCTATAATCGATTAACGTATCCATGAGGTGTTGTAACTGTTCGGTGTCCACGAGACTTAAACTATCGTACAGGCTAGTGAAATTGCCTCGACTTATGACTCGACACAGGGCGGCGTAAATATCGGGCTGCGACACGGCTCCCATGAACTCGCGTCCGGGATCGACTTGTAATTTGGTCGGCCAGGTCAAGCGACTGCGTTTGTAGATACGTTCTAAGGCCTTAGCGACTTGACTCGAATCTTTGGTCGTTAACGGCTCAGCTTCCTTGTAGTGACTGGCAACATCCACGATGGTCAGGGCATACTTGTACGTTTTGTTTCTCACCCTGTCATGCCGGAGAAACAGGAGGTCGGCTTGATGGGTACGATTGGGTATGGAAATGTCAAACTTTCTTCTCGGGATGTATTGGGGAGCCGGCAGGTACATTTGCCAGATGGCTTGTTTTTTGGAGCTAAGCTTTTGCAGTATCCTCGGAAGCGGGAGCGGCTTTGGGTAGCTTAGGGATGGCGCTCACACCTTTCAAGTAACCCTGAGGGCTGTAGTAAACCTTCTCCATGATGTATACACCGCTATCGTTCATTCAATTGTCTCGAGCCCATTTTTATATTGTGTTGTCCCCTATAGTTAAAATGTTTTAGATTCAGTTACTAGTTTTACATATATATCTGTGATACTCTAATTGCTTTACTGTCCTTTTGTCGGCAGGTTTTATAATCTATATATATATTCTATTTCAATGTCAAGTGTTCTCGTCACGATATGGCTAAAATATTGCCGATGTGACGTTAAATAATAACTCACTCACTCACTCACTCAATTGTCTCGACGCATCGAGTGGAGTTTCCTTTATTGGGGGTCTCGGAAACTCCCAACATGTCGATGCCTACTGTTGGTACCCATAGCTATAAATGTGGATGCCATCATTCGCAATCCATCATTTGGTATCCAGGGGCGACAGCGAGATCTTGTTGAGAGTGATGCCGTAGATGTTGTGCTTGTCGCTTCTCAACGCGTTCATGGGGTGTTTGAATGTGTGTTTATCGAAGAGAGACTGTTTGAAGAGGGTGTGTTTGATGAGTTTTTTCACCACGTATTTTTTTACCCCTTTCGCCTTTCGGATCTCACTGTTGTCGGCTTTTTGAATCGAATACATTTTAGGCCTTAATCCGACGTATTCGGCAATGGGTGTCCCGCGCATTCATCCTTCATCTTGCTGAGGACCTTTTTATTGGTCGTGCTGTGTAGGGCGTGGTCTTAGGGGAAAACGCTGGTGTCATACAGGTGCATGTGTTTCGCCATGTCCTTGTACACGTCCTTGGTACGAATTTCCATGAGCAGTGAATCCGTGTCCATGTACAGCACTTCACATCGATCGCCGTATTGATTTTTTAACTCGTTGTAGTAGAAATCGTACATGAGATGTTTGGAGAGGTCGATAATGCTCATCCCCACGTAAACAGGCCAGTTGAGCTTAATATGGCTTTTGTTCATGTGTAGCGCTGCCAAGTCATTATCAAATAGCTTGCTCCGGTTGAATGCCGAGCTGGCTATGAGTTTCCTGAGGTTTTCATCCTTGTGAGATTGGTGTTGAACCGAATGTAAGGTTCCATCCAGGGACTTTGATCAAATTGCAGCACCCGATGTATTTTAGTCAGCTTCATGCCCAGTGATAAGTACAGTTGCAGATTCCGATAATGCACCAGGTACTTGGTCTTGTTCATCAAGTTCGGAACGAGTTTTTCCACATTGGTCAGCTTATTTTTTCCGAGCAACGCGTGCTGATAGTCCGACATACAGTCTCGGTTCACCGTCAAACGTTCGGGAGCCAGCGGATATCTGTTGTGAGTAGCGTGCAATGCCGCGGGATACTCCAAATCCACTTCGAGGATGTAGCCTCTGTTCAAATTCGGCGCGATGCTCGTGATATCGATCTCATTGTCCAACCATTCGAACCCACCGGTAGGTAGAGAATGACTCATAGCCCAGCCGTACAGGTTGTTGGCGTCAATATAGAGGAGCTGGTTGGTGGGTCTACTCGAGTCGTCAGTTTCCACGTATTTGTTGTTGGCTTTCGCGTAGCGTTTGAAGACCATGGAAATCCCACTGCGCATGCCTTTCTCGATGAACAGATGCATGTCGTAATTCGTGAGCAATTCCAGTTTAATTCGAGTTTTCTTTAAGAGCGCATCCCACGAGAGAGCGGGGCTGGTGTAGTACCAGGCAGGGTCGAGTTGATACTGTTTCAAACA